AATTATTTGGGATGGGCTGGGAAGGTGGCTCAGTGGTAAAGTGCTTGCCTTGCATGCCTGAGGCCCTGGGTTCGATTCCTCAGCACCACATAAGAAAAAAGAAAAAAGCCAGAAGTGGTGCTGTGGCTCAAGTGGTAGTGCGCTAACCTTGAGCTGAAGAGCTGAGGGACAGAGCCCAGGCCCAGAGTTCAGGTCCCACGACCGGACCCAAAAAAAAAAAATTGTTTGGGATTAGATGACAATTTCTCAACAAAAAATTTACCTGGTTTTCTGAAATCAGGCAGCAGTGGTAACTAATAATATGGCTCTCCATCACTTAAGATGTTGGGACATATGTACAAATTACTTACAAGAAAGTGTAATGATCGTAGGAACCATGCTAAAGAAGGATTTGCCAGAAATGATTTATTCCTATGTTCTAAACTATTAGCATATGTTGTGAAATAACTACCATATTTTTGCATACAACAATAAACCCTCCATAACCCATTTACTTAAGAGCTAGATGTTCTGGGCTAACATTGGAGAGGGCTAGTTCCATTACTCAAGTGTGCTTGTTTTGGGCTGGAAATGTGGCTCAGTGGTGCTTTCCTAGCATGCATGAAGCCCTGAGTTTGATTCCTCAGCACCACATACATGGAAAAAAGTAGAAGTGGCTCTCTGGCTCAAGTGGTAGAGTGCTAGCCTTGAGCACAGACAGGCTCAAGGACAGTGTCTAGGCCCTGAGTTCAAGCCCCAGGACCGACACTGATTAAAAAAAAGCAGGGCTGGAGGCATGGTAGAGTGTCAGCTGAGCAGGCATGAGACCCTGAATTCAAGCCCCAGTACCAGATTAAGAAGCAAGGAATTTGCCTTTTCTTGGGGGAAAATAGAAGTTTTGTGAAATTACCAGCAGGTGGCGCAATTAAACAAGGTTTTAATTTTTAGCCCCAAAAGCCAATCAAAACAAAACCCAGCCAACACTTTACCTAGGCATCATAAAGCACTTGCTGTGACTTTCACAGCTCTATATGCCAATATTACAAAAGTGAAATACAGCTTAACTGTTAGACTTAGTCCTTCAGATGCATGGAACGAAGAAATCAACTGGTGTTTTTTTTTTTTTTTGGGTCCAGTTGTGGGGCCTGAACTCTGGGCCTGGGTGCTGTCCCTCAGCTCCTCAGCTCAAGGCTAGTGCTCTACCACTTGAGCCACAGCACCACTTCCGGTTTTTTTTTGTTTTTGTTTTTATGTGGTGCTGAGGAATGGAACCCAGGGCCTCATGCATGCAAGGTAAGTGTTCTACCACTGAGCCACCTTCCCAGCCCATCAACTGGTGTTTTCTCTTTGCAATTTAATTATTGCTTCAAAATATCAGGTTTGGTTGGAACCAGACATAGGGCTTTCTATATCTGCAGGAGATGAGGAAAGCAAAGATTTGTTTTAAATACATCCAGGTTCCTTCCTTCTAAAAAAAATATTTTTTTCAATTTGAAAACTTCCATTGTCAGGAATCATTCTAGATAAGTGCTGTACCACTGAGCTAAATCCTCAGCTCTTGATTTATTTTTGCCAGTCCTGAGGCTTGAACTCAGGGTCTGGACACTGTCCCTGAGCTTTCGTTCAAGGCTAGCACCCTACCACTTGAATTACAGTGTCATTTCTGGCCTTTTCTGTTTATGTGGTACTGAGGAATTGAACCCAGGGCTTCATGCATGCTAGGCAAGCACTCTGCTCTCGATTTTTGAAGACAGGGTCTCTAGGTTCTAGCTGGCCTCAAACTCCAGATCCTCCTGTCTCCCTCTCTTGAGTGCTGGAATTGCAGACATATATTAATACACATGGCATTGTAAGTATATAAATATTTATATCAGTTTTATTAAAAAACCAGACCAAGGGCTGGGAAGGTAGCTCAGTGGTAGAGTGCATGCCTTGCATGCATGAGGCTCTGGGTTCAATTCCTCAGCACCACATAAGTAGAAAAAGTTGAAAGTGGTAGAGTGGCTCAAGTGGTAGAGTGCTAGCCTTGAGCTGAAGAGCTGAGGAAAGCGCCCAGGCCCAGATTTCAGGCCCCACAACCGGCAAAAACAAACAACACACACACACACACACACACACACACACACACACACACACACACACACACACACACACACACACACACACACACACACACTAGACCAAGCTGGAAAGAATCCAGTGCTCTCTTGGCTGGGTAATGGATAAATTCTGACACATTCATACAATGAAACTGTGCTGTGGGGAGAAAGAGAGAAAAAATATGAAAGATTCATCAATAACCCACAAAAGTATGGATAAAACTTGCATACTTTATGCTGGCCAAGATGCAGTAACAGAGACAATATTTACCTTCTCATTCCACCAAACAAACACAGCAAGAGGACAAAACAGCCAGGTGTCAGAAGCTCATGTGTGTAATCCTAACTACTCAGGAGGCTAAGATCTGAGGATCCCAGTTTGAAGCCATCATGGGCAAGAAAGTCCATTAGATTCTCTAAATTAAACACCAATGAGCTATTAGTGGAGCTGTGGCTCAAGTCTAGAGTATTAGCTTAAGCAAGAAAGCTAAGGGTCCCGGGCCTGAGCTCCTAATACCAGCACCCCCCCCAAAATAAGGTGTGAATGGTAATGCTTGCCTATAATCCTAGCACACTGAGCCACCTCCGTAGCCCCTATGTGAATATTAATGAAAATCCACGAAACCGTACACCAAACAGTAAATTCTCAAAAGAGGCCATTAAGAACTTCCCACCTTGGGGCTGGGAAGGTGGCTAAGTGGTAGAGTGCTTGCCTTGCATGCATGAGGCCCTGGGTTCGATTCCTCAGCACCATATAAGCAAAAAGAAAAAAGCCAGAAGTGGCGCTGTGGCTCGTGGTAGAGTGCTAGCCTTGAGTTGAAGAGCTGAGGGACAGTGCCCAGGCCCAGAGTTCAGGCCCCATGACTGGACCCCCCCACCATCTTGCGCATGTAATTGTAACCCCTCTGTACAGTATTTTCACACACAAAAAAGAACTTTCCACCATTTAGATTTCACTGATTGGAGCTATTGTGTCCTTCTGGAGAGTTTGGATATTGTAGTCAAGATTTTGTCAGGTCCCTGTATTCCTTTAGTCTCAGCCTTTGTATCTGGCCTTAAATTTTTGTGGCTGCTGTATACAATCTTAAAATGTACCCTACAGGGCTGGGAAGGTGGCTCAGTGGTAGAGCGCTTGCCTTGCATGCCTGAGGCCCTGGGTTTGATTCCTCAGCACCACATAAGCAAAAAGAAAAAAGCCGGAAGTGGCGCTGTAGCTCAAGTGGTAAAGCACTAGCCTTGAGCTGAAGAGCTGAGGGACAGCGCCCAAGCCCAGAGTTCAGGCCCCACCACCAGACCAAAAAAAAAAAAAAAAAATGTACCCTACAGTCAGGCACTAGTGGTTCAAATTGTAATTCTAGCCACTCAGAATACTGAGACCTGAGGCCTGAAGTTCAAAGCCAGCTTGGGCAAGGAAGTCCATGAACCACTACAATGCTGGAAGTAAAGCTGTGGCTCAAGTGGCAGAGTGCTAGCTTTGAATGAAAAAGCTGAGGGACAGTACCCAGATCCTGAGTTCAAGTCCCAATACTAGGGCACGTGTGCGTGTGTGTGTTTGAAGAACCTCTGGCTTCTGTCAACCTTCCAGCTAGCTGGAAATGAGATGGCATGTACCTAATCTCCTTGTTGAAGCCAACATCCGTGCCTTTTTTTTGGGGGGGGGCGTCATGGGGCTTATACTCTGGGCCTGGGCGCTGTCCCTCAGCTCTTCAGCTCAAATCTAGTGCTCTAGCTCTTGAGCCACAGCACCATTTTTGGCTTTTTCTGCTTATGTGGTGCTGAGGAATCGAACCCAGGGTCTCTTGCAGGCGAGGCAAGCACTCTACCACTGAGCCACCTTCCCAGCCAACACCCTCCACTTTCGGTTGGGACTATGAAAACCTGTGTCGGTTCCAAGGCTCAGCTGATTCCTTGATTTGAGAGTCCTAACCCCGGGGATTGTGACACGAATGGACTCCAACTGTTTAAGCCACGTGTGTGGTGGCTACCCAGTCTGTAGTCACTGCAGCCCGAGGAGGCTAAGATACAGGTCTTGTTGGAACTGAGGCGGCCGCGGGAGGATCTGTCAGGAGGAGGAAAGCAAGGTGGCCTGGGGAGTTGGCTCCAGGTCCTGTGCAGAGGGCCGGGCCGGGCGGGCGCAGGGCTCAACGGGCTGGCAGGCGGTGGTGTCCCGGGACGACAGAGCAGGTGTCTAGAGTCACGCAGTGTCAGCCTCCAGGACGGCCTGGCTGCAGCAACGACGACGACGTGAGAGGCCCGGCCCTGCCCGCGACCTTGCCGCATGGTCGGTGTGGGCCCGGCCCCGCAAGGCCCGGGCTTGGCACGCTCCACAGCGGGTGATCTTTCACCGTCCCCAGATTTCCCTCCACTGCCACCATGTGCGGTGCAGTGCGTGGACGCGCTCCTCAGCCCCTCCGAGGGGCGACGAGCGGGCAGGCCCAGACTTGGGCAAAGCGCCACGGTTAGGCCCGCTCGCCGCGCGCACCGGGGCTGTGACGGCGGCGGCG